CTGTAAACCCTAGAGATGGTTGTGCGTGAAAATCCCAGTAGATCAGCAGTTTCTGAAATACTCAGACCCTGGCACCAACAACCATGCCACGTTCAAAGGCACTCAAATCACCTTTCTTCCCCATACTGATGCTCGGTTTGAACTGCAGGAGATTGTCTTGACCATTTCTACATGCCTAAATGCACTGAGTTGCCRCCATGTGATTGGCTGATTAGAAATTAAGTGTTAACGAGCAGTTGGACAGGTGTACCTAATAAAGTGGCCGGTGAGTGTATCCACCGTATTTATTCAAGTATAATACGTTAAATTAAATCCATAAAATTATCCATAAAGCTGGGAGGTAGTACACTCGGATAAATATTTTTACTTATGTATTTTAACTGAAATATCGGCTTCATTCACAAAATGCCTGAGTCCGGAAATGAGACCGCGTCATAAGAAGCAGATGAAGCGAGCTTATCTCTGATGCGCTGTCCTGATTCAGAGCGAGATAGTAACAGATTAGCCTGGTTTAAACCAGACCCTGTCCTTCACTTTGCTTCGTACAAGAGTCTGGACTTGATGCATAGAGAATCAATTTCTTGCGGGAGGCGTGGCCTCTGCTGAAGTTTAAAATGGTTGGATCAGTTGGCTGCGATGTATGTCGCTGTGACGGAGGTTGAGCTAAGAAGCTAACCGGAAATCGTGTGTGCTGTAAACAACCCTACTGAGAGGAGAATATACCAAGCCGAACGAGACGACTGTAAATGAAAGCTGCTGCTTTGTCAGACAAATTTATTTTAATTTGGAAGCCTTATCAACACGGACTGGCGTCCTTCACTTCCTCCACTGCCGTATGCTAAAATAACACTGCGCAGAAAATTGACGTTATGTTCTCTGATTGGCCCGGCTAAAAATCTGCCAGCGAAATCCATCTCAATGGGAGAAGTCCAGACGGAGCAGTGAAGGGAAACTAGAATTGAGCGGAGCTGCGTAAGAAGGCAAGGGCCAGGCTAGTAACAGATCTAAGCAGGCGACATGATGTGAAAAAAGCGGGGAAAAAGCAGTCCTGCAGCTTAGTAATGATAACCAACTAATGACATTAACTTGTGACCAGGCCGCTCCTGGAACAACAACAAACACGTGTTCGTCTGTAATGGCTGCCGTCTACCGGTGTTCTGAAAAAGTTTGCATCCCTGAAAAAAGTTTCCCCACCAGAGGGGGCGCTTGCAAGTAGGAAGTAATGTGCTTTACCCCCAGAAGATGGCCCAAATCTCATGTGAAGTCTCTGACTTTTGTGTTGGCGCCTCCTGGTGAACTATGTGTAAAATGCCAGAATTCATATGATGCTGCTACAGCTGATATATATTTG